CCTGCTGGCACTTAGTCCTGTTGCCAAACACCTTCTTTATTCATGATGTTGTTTAACTTTCATCGTGAGGCAATGAGAAAGAGGGAAGTCAGGCAGGCATGTGGGAGTAGGTCCCTATGTGCATGAGGACACAGAGGCTCTCTCATTCAGTGAAGCTTCTTGTCAAAGCCAGCAGCTGAATGCTAATGCCAACACTCATTTAACATGGTTAATGACCTGCCACCATGCTCCCTGAGACATTCCTGCTGTATGTGCTGAACACTCTTCCCTCCTTGCTGCTTCTGAATTACTTTATTATTAATGTTTATTTGAAAGGCAGAGTCGCACACACACACACACACACACACAAATAAATCTTCCATCTGTTGGTTCACTTCCCAAATGCCTGCAACAGCAAGAACAAGAGCTGGGCCAGGCTGAAGCCAGGAGCCTGCAACTCCATCTGGGTTTCCCACATGGGTGGCAGGTGCCCAAGCACTTGAGCCATCCACTGCTGCCTCCCAGGGTATGCACTAGCAGGAAGTTGGATTGGAAGTAGAAGGGCTGGAACTTGATCCCAGAATTCTGATATAGGAGGTGGGCATCCCAAGTGGAGGTCTAATGCACTGCACCACAATGCCCATCCCATGCTGCTGAATTTTTACTCCTCCTCTAAGACTAAGCAAAACATCCCTTTCCTCCAGGAAACCTTTGTTCACTTTCCCAGGAAGAGCTGATCCTTCCCATCTTGGCTCTCCTTACGTCCCCCACGTTGTGCCTCCTCACGAGCCCTCATTCCCTGCATCCCTGGGGCCACCGCTGTCTTGCTGGATGGCACCCACTAAGAGGGAAGTCAGAACTGCAGTCAGAGAGGAATCCCTGTTCCTCCACAGTCACGCTTTAGGACTGCTCCTCTTTTCTTTATTATTCCTTCCTGCCTGCGCAAACTGTCCCTTGTCTCACATGGAAATCTGCAGGTCACACAGAAGAGGGGCCTTAAAAAAATGAGGCCTGCTTATCAGATGTCATGAATATGTAAGTGACAACTTAGAGTTTACAGGTCAGTCCCGTGAGGTTGACATAGTAAATGAAATGGTCCTGACAGTCTGTAGCTATGAACTACTGGTTTTCCACTGAAAACCTAGATAGGGTAACAGAAAAGCAGCCAGCAGAACTGCTTCAGAAATGGATCAGCACCATGAATCTTAGCATAATCACTGCCCACCCGCAGCGCCTGGTCCTGCCTGTTTGAGCAGTCACAGCAGGGCTGGCCTCTGGAGTGGCACTGGTCCATCTCCCTTACCACCATGGCCCTTGTGGAATCCAAGCTGCTCCTGTGTTGGCTGCTGGGGCTGTGTTTTGGCACAGATTAAATGTGCAATGGAAATGCTCCAGTGTGATCAAGTTTCAATAGCTAAGTTGATGGCTCAAGTGGAATGTTCGAGGGATTGATTTGTGGGAGTCAAATCAGTGTTATTTATGCATTCCCTTGGTCCACATGTCTTAGCATATGGGACGTATTCAGGAGCACCATACATAACCTGTCCCATCACATCTCTTCTTGGGAAACCACTAACTAGGCTGTATTAAGTATGCAATGACCCATTCCTGCTGCCTTCCTGGTTTATGGCTTCTGAAAAGCCCCACCCAGTTCCTGCTAACCCAAAGCATTCCCAAGCACACTCTCTGAGCATGGCAGTGTTACAGCCCAGCATCAGAATTTGAAGCAAGCAGCCCTGGAGCCTGATTCCACGTAGGCTCCTCTGAACTGCTTTCAGGCTCAAGGTACATGGGGGCTCTTCTTACCTGCTTGGCTAGTTTGCACTTTTGAAGAAGCAAAGGCCAGGAAAGAGCCAGAGGCGGCTATGAGTGGGTTTCTCTCTTGATTTAAAAACTGATTTGAACACAACCAATAAAAAGGCGATGACCAAGCCTGGTCCAGGCTGTTCTGCCAAGAGCTGGCAATTAGCACAGCATGATCTGCCTACTCTACAGCTGTGAAAGGGCAGCCCTGCTCCCCCGCTCTCTTATCTCTGAACCCCATCTTTCCTGCACGTGGCAAAGAAGCTGATTTGACCAACTGAACCTCAGCCTCTCTGCAGCCATCCCATGGGGTCCAATGTGAAGTTCCTGCTGCTGTACTTGAGCCTGACATACCCACTCAGGACGGTGACCATGTACAAGCCCAGCTTGCGGAAAATTTCCCAGTCTTCAACTTCTATGATCTTCCCGGCAATCAGGAACAAAATACCAAGCGGCATGTAACTAGAAAGCAAGCATGACAAAGGCATGATTCCGTCAGCAGGGTTTTCTCCATGGGAGGAGGCAAGGCAGTGTGTAGACCCTCAGTGCGTGCCCTCAGCTGGGAGGAGCGTAGATATGTCATGAAACCAAGGGCTCCGTGTCAAGTCCTAGGCAGACTGCGTGGATTCATTTTTAGTACCTGCATGCACCTTAAATTCTAACCATCCAAACCGTCATGAGAGTAGTTTGCCAACTTGGCAAGAACGGTGCATAGCCTGGGCCATGTGCCCAGTACACATATATCCCACTGATTGCCTTATCTGCTTATCTCATTTGGGTTTGACCCTGACAAATATAGACACTTGGTTCATTCTAGCCATGGTCTTCTGATTTCCCAGGAACCCACAATAGAAAAGCAGTATCGGTGGTCACAATAGCTCCATTTGTGGAGCCCCCATTACATCCTGTGTTGGGGAAAGCATTTTATATGCACCATTTCCCTTAATGTACATCTGCCAGTCCTGGGGGTAGTTTTTATTAACTTTGTTTGCAGAAGATGAAGCTGAGGTTTCTGCAGGATTAAGTAATTCACCTGGCTTTTTTTTTTTTTTTTTTGAGCTTTGTATGTTGCTGTCAGGGTCTATAATTTGAATTAAATAATGTTCTACCCAGGCCATCAAAGAAGGAGGTACCATTCTCTGAAGGGAGGAGAGAACTTCCGCTTTGATTATGGCCTTGTCTAAATAAGGTCAGAGTTTGTGAACTGAAGAGACTTCCATAGCCTTGGCAGCTCATGACAAGAGCCTCGGGTGATTACTGACATCATAAATAAGAGTGTCAACTGTTAAATCAAAAATGGAGTCACTGTGCACTTACTCCCATGTAGGATCTCTGTCCTTAATGTGTTGAACTATGTGAATTAATGGTAAAATTGTCTTCAAATAGTACTTTATACTTTGTGTGTCTGTGTGGGTGCAAACTGTTGAAATCTTTACTTAGTATATACTAAGTTGATCTTCTGTACATAAAGATAATTAAAAATGAATCTTAATGAAGAATGAGATGGGAGAGGGAGTAGGAGATGGGATGGTTTGCGGGTGGGAGGGTAGTTATGGGGGGGAAACGCTATAATTCAAAAGTTGTACTTTCAAAATTTACATTTATTAAGTAAAAGTTTAAAAAAAAAAACAGAGAGTATAAGAAAAGAATGTAAGAACGCCCAAAAATAATGTTCTACCAATTTAATATGAGATAGTGGAGGCAGAGGTCTCCTGAGAAAGTGGACCTCGGGCAGCGTCTGGGATGAGGCAGAGCCTCAGGGGCTGTGCCTGGTGGGCTCAGATGGCAGCTCGTGCTCAGATGTGTTGGGGCCCCTGCTGTACCAGCTCAATGTTTCGAATTTCACTTCTGTATGGGGCCTAACATGGAATGCCTTCTGTGTTCTGATGTGCAAGAAACTCCTTGAAATCTTTCCTTTAAGAGTCACTTCTTACACAGATGCTGGCTTGGTGACAGATGACCTCACAGGGCTACAGGGAGAAGAGTGGCTGAAAGCCAGGCTTGTGTCAGTGAACTACCTCCCGCATGGTGTGTGGAGTTCGTTAGCAGTCTCATGGTTTCATAGCAAATGTTCACCTCCCCTAGAATGAGTTCAGTGGAGAAACAAGCCTCTTCTTCTTAATTCTGAGGAGACAGGGTTGTCAGGGGAAGCAAAGATGGCATTAGCAGCATCTGCTCACCACATAATGATCTGAACGATTTTCATGGTTGCGTCACTCAAAGCATTGAAGAAATCCACCAGAATCTGTCCCTTTTCTCCCATTTTCCCGATGACGAGTCCGAACACGAGGCAGAAGACAATCAAGCCCAGGACATTGATGCCATCTGAATACAGGCCCACGACTCTGTACTCCTTTGTTCTGTTCTGTGGATCAAAACCAAGGAAATATATTGATATGTGATTATAACCTTGTTAGAATGCATGGGAACCTGAAATGAGAAAATGAAATGAGAAATGAAAGCTGAACGTACCAGGCAGAGTGAACAGTACTTCAGGAAATAGTAATAATAAGAATAAATCCTTTCCCAATTGAACTTTAAAGTTTTTTTCCTTTCTCAACAAGTTCCTATTTTAGTATTTCTTTTTAAGACTTTTTTACTCTGGATTGCTTTGCATTTTTATTATGAATTTTAGAATCAAGGCATTTTTTCAGGGCTATTTTAATCATGAGCTACATTTACAGTCTGCTTAAAAAGACAGAAATTAGTGCAGGAAGCACAAAATATTTACCAGTGCAAACATTCTCAGGAGATTTTTACCATCTATTTTACCCTGTTAATGAAGTAAACGTACACTTTTTATGGCCTCTGGTCTTGGGTGACCAACAAGTTTTTAGAAATAAAAAAAATTAACCAGATCCCTATTACAAGGGACTTTTACTTTGTCCTGGCTGCAAGAGTATATGATTTACCAAAGGACACCATAATCTGGGTGAGACAAGCCAGGTTTATAAAAAATTATGTGGATGAGCCACCAGGGTGCCAGTCATTTCTGACTTAAATGGCCTACCAGCTCTTTATGGATCAGCCAGGGTTCTCTAATGGCACTGGCTACAGCATTAGCTCCTGACTCAGCTGGAGAGAGACGATGAGCTGTGAGAAACACCAGCTC